GGAAAATCGCTTTCCATTTTGTCCCTTAATAGTGTGATTCTGTCATACGTATATATTACATATTTATACTAATTGTAACTATTTAATAAAAATTAACTAAAATAAAAATTTTCTTTGTTGACCAAAGTAGGACTTGATTAAATTTTTTTTCTCGCTTTTCAATTGTAGTTCTAAGAGGCTACAGATGAAATTGAATCTCTTTATATAGAATATATTATATGGATTCAATATTTCACCAGAATATACACTTATTTAGTTCTCATTAAGACAAACTATGGTTTTCATTTTTGTTTTAGCAAGGTTACATAAGTATATAAAATATTTCTACACTTGTACAGTCTTCCTGGTTTTCTATTAGAAAGAAACTGACAGGACGAATGTATGGAAACAAATTTATCTCGCTGTCCTTTTGCAATTAATTAATTAATAACAGATGGAAATCCTCTATCATTAGAAATTAAAATAGATCCATAGAAAGAGAAGAAAGCGTTGCTGCGTTTATCTACGTTTATTTTGGGTTTTTTTGTCTTAGCGTTGGCACTCAAACAAACCGTTGATGGACCCCTTTCAAGACACAGATCGGTTTCGATGTCGGAATGCACTTTTTGTTTCGTCACCCATTATCAGACATCTCTCGAAGATGTCCATCCGCACCCAAAGAGCAATGACTCGTGTCCATCAAACGAGTCCATTGTTCTGCCACCAATGGCGCATCCGTCTGGGTGGTCAAGATCCCTGTGGCTCAAGTCAGCCCTTCAGAACACTGTAAACACACTCGCCTCCTCTACTGTCGTTAGCGCGTGACATGGCAAAGAATTGTGAATGGGGGAGGGGGAAGAACCGTACTGTAATTTATGAAAGGATAAAAGAAAAAAAGTGGTTCCGCGTTTTCTTGGCGAAATGTTGGGAAAGCGGCAGCACGTGGAAGATTGCATCTTTCTCGCTGTTGGTACACAGTGAAATCCGAAAAAACTGAATGAGGATGAATGTCGTATTCGATTTCTCTCTCTCTGCTCTGTACGAAAAATTGCTTAACTGTTTCTTTCCATCACATCGTGGTACTATTTTCATTCAGAATTGGTTTGCATCACTTGAGTGCTATTTTTACACTACCGTTCGAGTTCGATTAGCTCTAATTCAAGGCTTTTTTTGGAAGCATTCATTTTTTTTTAAATTTAATGGATTGTTTTTTATTGTTATAATATCTATATATTTGAAGCATTTTTCTACATAACTACCCTTGGATAGAGATCTGAAATAATCGGCTGCACAGTATACTTTGTTTCCTATTCACGACAAAGAATCTTACTCATCAAGACCTTTTAAAGGTAATTCTAAAAAGTATGAGCCGTAACCTGGTGGTAAAGGTAACAGACTCGTAGTCACCGTGTCATGAGTTCGAGCCCAGTACCGCTGAAGACCCGCCCTGTAGGGGGGGGGAGGTGAGTGAGGGAATATTAACGTCTCACTGTTCAGCCACACTAGGGCTTTTGGCGACGGACCTCGTAACTTTGTATAATGATCAAGTGACGAGGACAGCACCTGAGATGGCACCCCCTCTCCCAACCTTCACGCCACACCAACGATAGGACGTTTGAGCTCTCGACAGATTTAACGTGCATTGCTCCCCTTCACAGCGGGTCTTTAGTGGTACTGGACTCGAATTCATGACATGCCGGCCATGATCTGATACCTTGACCACTGGGCTACCAAACCCCCAGAGGGGGGAGATGCACATTAAATCTGTCTAAGTTCAAACGTCCTCCCTTTGGTGTGGTGTTGAAGTTGGGAGAGAGGGTGCCAGCTCAAGTGTCGTTCACGACCATGGTTCAAAATGGCAGTAACTGGATAGTGCGACGTTAATATTCACTCACTTAATTTTGAGCCACAGTCAAGTGATGAGGATGATACCTGTGAGCTGACATCTTTCTTTCCACAGTTCCACATGAAGCCCAAAGCAAGGACGGACTGAGCTTTGACAGATGTAATGAGCCCTATCTCTACACGGCGGGTCTTCAGTGATACCAGGATTCCAGCCCATGACTCGACAGAAACAACGCCAGCTGATCACTGGGAGCCATATTAAGAGGTGTTCTGTAAACTTCAGGTTACATATTTTTTTTAAATTTCGAATAGCAGATTATGAACAGTTATTAGCAGAGTTCATCAATCTACCTAGTATATTCACCGAAAGCACAGGCATCTCTTTTTAGTGCGGCGCCATATAGGCGGATACCAATCGCCGCAGGTAATTTTGATGCTCAGTTGCCCTTCTAAGGGGAGGCACCTTGTGACGGGCTGACGCGTCTTTTCTGTAACATAACCTCTCGGTTCCTTGACGGCCAAGATTAATGGCAAATCCTTTCCAGCCCAAATCTAAGAAGTGAAATGCAATTGTGAAATGCAAATAAGATAGCTTTTAAAAGAACAGAAGTTTTAGTAAGCAGAATGGCAATTTAGGGAAAGTTATGTTAGGAAGAGATACGAGTGTGAATTGACAGCCTTCATAAAGTTACCGAGATAATCAGCCACATTGATATAAGGTGCATACCATTGCACGCGTGCCCAGGTGCTTCGTGCCGTGATAGAACCTCAGCTTGAATTAAGGTAGGACTGATTATTTGATATTAGGACTTGTAATATTATCAGAATTAAAAGTAGGATGATAATATAATTATTTAGATAAGTGGTCTAAGTTACGCGATCCAGTTTAACTATTGCTGTGTGTTTGGTTTATTAGATTCTCATTTATTTGAATTTATCTAAATTATTAGAGAGATCTAAGTTCTATTCTTAATAAAGTCATATTAAGAATTTTAAAATGTCTATTCAATTCAACAATCCCACACCTCTAATTCACGCTGACAATCAAAGATATGGTCACCAAAGAACGACCCTATCACAACCTGAGTTCCGACGATTGGAACTTGTACTAGGATTTAATTTTGCCTACAGCACCCCCTAGGAGTCTTTTACATGCCGTATAATCATACGACAAACCAACCACGCCACCCAGCCAACTCAGGTTATATATATTAATATTAATTTCAATTAACACATTGGTATTTGGAAGTCGTTTAAAAGTTAATTTGCTTCCACTTAGCTGAAAAACGGGACGAATAGAGTATTGCGCAAATAAACAGCTTCATTTTAAGAAACCACGAAAATGTGTACGAATTTATGGCGTCATTGCGCAAGTCTTGAAAAGAAAGAAATCATGAGAGCGATAATTTTTCCCATTAATCTTAAAATATTGCCATTCTGTTGCTTCCAACATTCTTTGTTTCGCTTCTTTTTTCGTGCATTATTACAGGCATACTTTCGGAGAATGATATTTTCGTTTCTTACTACACATAAGGTCAACTAAACTACCGCGGCTGAGTCTTTAAACAACACAAGGAAGAGTCACTCGTGAAAGGTATGTGCAAAACCCCAGAAGCCACGTGCTTTCGAAAAAGATTACGCTCTGAGGTTGTTCGTCAACACGTCGACACTCTTTCATTCCGAAGTAAGAGAAATCAGCCTTAAGTGTTGCAAGGACTCTGGGCCCTTCGGGCTCTTCTTTCTTCCGAGGTGTGGGATTAAAAAAAACCTGTCTAATGGCAAATTTACTGTCCTTTTACAATTTTTATTTTTTATTTTGAACGATGGAGAGTTATTTAATATTCTTTCCTTCTTATACACACGCATATCTCTGTCCTTTGCATGCACGGGGCTGTAAGGTTTCTCTCGTAACCTTTCCTCTTGCTACAAGTTCTGTTTCTTATTATTAATTTCCATTGATTTGCTTCAAGAAGAAAACGCATGCTCAGTCACTTTGCATATTTAAGAGTATGAATGAATATTTTTCGTGAATTAAAAAGGAAAAAGAAAATGTAATTCCTGTTGTTTTTTGGGAAACACCGTGCATAAAATATTCTTTCCCATTATACAATGTACATACAAATAAACAATCGTATTGATTTATATTTTATATGCTTTTCACAAATTACGCTTCTTGCTTGTGATAAATAGAGTAAGTATAGCAATTATATATATATATATATTGTGCATTCAGTCATGGAATCATGGAATCTATCTACATCGGGTAAGATTCTAGTTTCTTCGCTCATTTACATTATTATTAATTATGATCATAATCTTTTTTAACCTGTTTTGCAAATATTTTTTGTTTATACATATTTATATTTGTATATTACTCCCGGATTCCTATAGTAATTTAATATTCCAATTCTATTCTATTGCTGTTATATTTACCCACGTGTGTTTTGGGCCTTTGCCTTGGTTTATCTCCTGTACTATTATGTCGAAAATTTCCACTGTAGGGGAAAATTGAGATATCACAAAACACTGTTTAACCCTGTTTCACTGTCCTAAGCCAGTGACAGCTCGGGAAATCACAATAGCTTTTTCCATTCTAGCTAAATTTCTCTTTTTTTGGTTTGTCATGATTCCATGTTCTTGGTTCTTTCGGTTTGATCTTAAGTTTTTTTAGGATTTATTGCTCTTCTTTTTAATTTATTTGCTGCTATATATATATATATATATGTATATTCTCTCGATCGTTAATATTCAACACATCATGTGTATACTATCATCAAGTGGCGCACACAAGGGGGATGTCCACAGGTCCGGACCCTTGATTTTTTTGATTGATTATAATCTCTTGTATATAGTACGTAAGATTTTATCAGGAATTAATATTAACAAGTAATATACAGAAAAAAATTTAAGTCAATTCCTACTTAGGTCAACAAAGAAAATTTTTATTTTAGTTACTTTTTATTAAATTATTACAATTATTATATGTATATACATATCACACAATCACAATAATAAGTTACAAAGTAGAGAAAGCGATTTTTCTTTCCATTTCAATTACTATATAAAGTGTTGGACTATTATTTTTAGTTTGCTGCTGTTTATTCATTAATTAAATTTTTTAATTATTCTAATAAAACAGTATAATAAAAAAGAAATCACATTCTCAGAAATAAGGCCATCCCAGGTGGGACTTGAACCCAAGACTGTTGGATTAGAGGTTCCAACGCGCTATCCATTGTGCTACAGGAACACTACGAGCGATTTTCATTTTTATGTATGGTGTTGGACTATTATTTTTGTTTGTTATTAATTATTCATTAAGTTTAACTAATGAATTAATATTTGAAACAACTGTATTAAGATCAAGTGTCATCCAGTACTAGTTTTAAAAGATGTATTTGAACTTGATTGGATGAATAGAAAGTATTTGATTAACGATTGAGAATTTGAACAAGATATAAATATATATAGGGAGATTGTGAACTAATAGTAGGAATTGAAAAATTATTTTATTAAAATTAATGCAAATTATTTATGCGATAGTTTTTTTAATTTTTGTTCCAGACAATTAACAAAATCAAAAGAATATGTTTGCCGGCATATTGGGGTATGATACGCGCGCGAATGGGGGGCCCTCCCCCCCCCCCCCCCCTTGAAAAATTCCTGTGTTCGTACTGGTCGCGTTTTCTTTACGTCCGATTTAATACAATTCTGTCCACATTTTGCTTCACCATGGTTCAAAGGGATGTCCGTCGCCACAAAAGCCCCCGAGTATCTGAATAGTGCGACGTTAATAATCACTCACTTGCCCTACATTTTGTTGCTGGAAAAAAAAAAGAGAGAAGAAAAAAAGAAAAGAAACAGAAGAATAAAAAAAACTAACTAAATAAATAAATTTAAAAAAAAGGAAGAGGATTCGATTGTGTATGTGCAGAGTGGGTTTCCTCAAAAGAAAGAACATTCTGGAAGAGGAAGTCACGTGGGGCACAGGATCTTCACGGCCAAAGTGATGATCTCTAGCTGCCCAAAATGTGTTGATGAGAACCCCTCTTCTCGTTCTTCTCTCTGTTGTTCTCATGCACGTCCGCCGATCCCAAAGGTTATCATCTTCGAGAGGGCGTGCGTTCGATAGGGAGAGACGTTTCAGCAGCAAGCTTTCTTCATCAGCTGATGCGGTTCTGTTTCTCAACAAACTGACGAAATCACGTTAAAACTTTCCAGCGCAGGACATTTATTTTGTCAATTAAGTTGCTTCTGTTTTGAGATGAAACAATAACTTGCATTTAAAAAAAAGGTGCAGCATTTTTTTCAAATAGGCTGAATCCGTTACATTATTTAAACGTAAAATAAGTGTTATTCATCATACAGTTACAGTTACAGGTTTTGTGGGATGTGGAGCAACAAAGGCTATTATCCCTTTATCAGTCTAATTAAAATAAACGTTTAGCCTATTATAATACAGTCCATCCTCCATATAACGAACCTCTGTATTGCGAATTTTTCTATATAGCGAACTTTTTCCAGGAACCACGAACATTTCACGATTTTCTTAGTAAAATAACCTCCCCATAGCGAAGTGCGTTTTCTATGTAACGAACACTTTTTCTCTTGGGATTCAGTTTTTTTCTCTCTTTTTCTTAAAGTATTTCTGGACTTTTCAAGTTATTCTCTCTTTTAACTCATTTTGTGGTGGTCATAAATCTTGAACTGGTTTTATTAGGTACCTAGCTCGACGAGAGCAATAGAATTCTGGTTGTTTCATTCAAGAAGTACATTTTTTAAATCCCATCATCCAGTTCACTGGAAACATCTTTGATATCCCCTTTCTCCCTCAATGGAATTGTCTTGCATCCCCGTGTTCTTGAATTAGTATCCGTTCATTTGTAGTGTTGATCAGTCGTGCTGGTAACTTCGTTTCTTGTTGCTCGAAAATGTCAAAAAGTAAGTACTTGAGCATCAAAGAAAAAAAATTCTTTAAGAAGGGATAAAGGCATTAAGAAACTATCCTTGTAGTTTTTCTTTCTTTCTTTTCGAAAGGTAAGATATATAAAATAAATATATATTAATTTATAAAAAGGTGTGCATAATTACTTTTTTTTAAAAATATATAGTGTTTATGAATTCAAAATTTGTTTAACGTGATTTATAAAGAAAATGGAAAGGTGAACCTCTATATAACGAATTTTTCGTATAGCGAACTTTTTTTCGGGATTTAGCGACTTATTTAAATAGAGAGGTCCGACTGTACTTCAAATAATTTTGACATCATTTAAGGAAATGTAATAATATCCGTAGACAAAGTCTTGGAAAACGTAAGGTATCCGACTACGTTCGGAACCTTGATTTTAATAAAGCGCACAAATGTGGATAATTTTCATGATATTTAGTGTCACTCAAATTAGAATACATGCATAAAATTGGTTTAAGGACGTTTTGACAAAAAAAATTTATTTAAATACAATATTTTGGCAAAAAACTAACTTAGAATAATCTTTTTTCAAAATCTCCTTTTGTCAAAAATGCTTCTATTATAATAATATTTTGCCTGTATATAGCTCAGTCCTCTCTACAGAGGCTCAACTAGAATTTTTGAAAAATTCACATTATTTTCAGAGTTACCACCAATTAAAATAATTATTGGCGTTTTTTTCTTAAAATTGCTTCCCTCTGTTGTGTCGTAAAATATGGATAAACCCACTTCTAAGTTATATATTTCAAAAATTCTAGTTGAGCCTCTGTAGAGAGGTCTGAACTTATATACAGGCAAAATATTATTATAATAGAAGCATTTTTGACAAAAGGAGAACATTTTGAAAAAAGATTATTCTAAGTTAATTTTTTGCCAAAATATTGTATTTAAATAATTCTTTTTTGTCAAAATGTCCTTAAAACTGTTTTATACATGTATTCTAATCTAAGTGACACTAAATATCATCAAAATTATCCATTTATGCTGCTCTTTTACAAAATCACGGTTCCGAACGTAGTCGGATACCTTAAGCAAGGTGAATAGCAGTTTTGAATTTCCATATCACCCATGAGATCCAAAGTTTTGACTGAATTTTTATTTTGAAAAAAGAACAGTTTTGTGTTGAAAGTAGGCTGCTTATTAAACGGATTTGAAGCTCAAAATCCTGTTGTAAATTTAATATAATGTGAGCTCTCATTTAAAGCACACTATATAGCAACACGAGGTCTTTTGCCGATGGACCTCGTCATTTTGAACTATCGTCAAGTGACGAGGATGCCACCACCCTCTCCTAACTACCACACCACGCCAACGGGAGGACGTTTGAGCTCTCGACAAATTTAACGTGTATCGCTGGCGGGTCTTCAGCGGCACTCAGGACAAGCCGGCCACGAGTCCGTTACTTTGGCCACTAGGCTACCGCGGCCACATCACATAACCCGAACGGGGAGACTTTGAGATTTGATAGATATCGGCACATCAACCCCCCTACACGGTGAGTTTTATTGGCATTATGGCTCGAGCTCATGACACTCTTGGCACGAGTTCGTGATGATAGCCACTAGACTACCGCGTCCACCAATCTGGTATAGAAGTTCGGAGGGTGAGGTGCCTGCTCGAATGCCGTCCTCGTCACCTGACCATAGCTCAGAATGGCGAGATCGTCTCAAATAGTCTTTGTTTTGGTTTTAATGTGATAACTAAACCGAAATTCACCACTGCCCGTCGGGGAGAATAACGGAGCATTTGCTTATTAAATTGAACTGGGCCTCGAAGGGTTAAGTTTGAGTTTCCTAAGGTAACATCCTCTTTACCTTAAGGAGTTTTAGAGTGTGAAGTAATTTAAAATACAATTCATCCAATCGTCATCTGACGAAACCTTAACTCGGAACCATCCAACAGCGTTTCTGTAATTTGACACCACGACACCCATTCTAATTGTGTGTTTTCAGTGCCGTACATTTCGTGCAAAACGGTAATACCCGAAAAAGAATACTGAAAAATTCAGCATTGCATATCTCTCTGTCAGTCGATATATCAATGTACGTAAATATATCTTTTGATTTTACGTAAGGTATCCAAGTGTCCTTCAGCCCACCTTAACCCTACCATGGGATGTTTCAGCGAATTCCGCCTGTAAAAGGATGAATGAGATTACAGCCATAAACTGTGCATGAGTTACGAAACCAGATTCCAGGTCGATTCCTCGCTCGGGTGGTCGTCCTTGACATGCTTGGGGCGGCCTTCCCAAGGATAATCCGCGACCGGTAATGTTTATGTAAGGGGATCGCCCATTCCCCGGGCATTCGTGTTTACACACACAGCCCTCGTGGAACGAACCACATTCGTCAACGTACTTGTTACCTCACTGACTCTATTAATATTATAATGGTGTTCAGTTACCAGTTGGAGATAGTTATTTTCGCACTCTATTAGCATATTTAAATTGAAAGTTGATCTCTTTCTGTTTGTTTTTTATTCCACTGATTTTTTCACACCTCTTTTTTTTCCAATTCCTACTATCAGTTCACTTCTCTCTATATATATTTATCTCATTCAAATTTTCAATCGTTAATAAAATACTTTCTATTCATCCAATCAAGTCCAAATAATTTTTTTAAACTTGTAGTGGATGACACTTGGTATTAATACAGTTTTTTCAAAAATTAATTCAATATTTAAATTTAATTAAATTACCGATTTTCGACGCCAACATAGATTCGTCTCAATTGTTGTAACAATGTAACTGTTAAAAAATGTCAAAAGTTGGCGTCAAAAACTGGTTTTTCAGCCAAACCGGGTGTGCATTGCAAACAAATCATGTGCTTTTTTTCAGTTCCTACTATTAGTTCACTCCAGCGGCGCACACAAGGGCCGTCCTGGGGGTCCGGACCCCCCAGAGCCCTTGAATTTTTCCCGATTGATTATAATTCTATTGTACGTAAAATTTAACTAAGTATTTGTTATTAATGATTAATTTTATTAATTAACGCTAATTATTTATTCAAGAATTAGTTTTTTACTGTGTTTTGTTCGTGAAAATCGACAAAATCAAAAGGAACATGATACAAGATTGGTGAACTTTCGATCCCGGCCCCCGCCCCCCTTGAAAAATTCTTGTGTGCGCTACTGGTTCACTCTCTCCCTATATATTAAGGATGGCGATCTGAGATCAATTAATCGAAAAATCGATTTCTCGGGCCAAAAGAAAAAATCGATTTTTTAAATCAAGATGTAACACTGAATCGATTCTATGAATCGATATTTCAAACTAGAAAATC